AAAAAAAAAAAAAAAAAAAAAAAAAAAAAAAAAAAAAAAAAAAAAAAAAAAAAAAAAAAAAAAAAAAAAAAAAAAAAAAAAAAAAAAAAAAAAAAAAATATATATATATATATATATATATATATATATATATATATATATATTTATTATTATTATTTTTTTTTCCAAGGCCCCTTAAATTGCCCTTAATTGTCCAACTTGAAAAAATTAAATAAAGAATTTTAAGAGAAGCGAATCCATCGCAGAAACAGCTGGCTCAATTGGATGGTAAAAGCGTAAATAAGTCTAGAGGTAAGGGCATTTTTTGGAATTGAAATGACGATTTAACTTTACGCATTCCATCGGCTTCTCAAGTCGTTTTCCGTCGTTCTGCTTTGTTAAACTTCCTCCGTTTGTTGCACAAGAATTTCCTTCTCCGGCAAGAACTGATTCTACTTGCTTAGGTGCTTCGAAACGCTGAATTCTCTTATCTTGATTGAAGTCGGTGCTGTCACCGGTAATTGAACGTTCCGATCATTGGCAGAGCCGCTGAATCTCTAGCTGGTTTCTCCTTTTCCAAGTTCGTTCGCTATTATAACTTTTTTCTTTTCATAATTGTTTTTTTTTTATTCAATTAATTTTCCTGCTCGTGGAGTGTGATTCCCATTTTGAGGAGATTTTTTCGATTTGATGAGCCGATTGTTCGTTTCTTGGTGTCTGATGATTCTCCTTTTAATCGCCTTGTATTTTGTTTCCTGTTTTTTATTATTATTATTTTTAATGATTCATTTAGTATTCTGGAGTATGGAGAGGCATAGGTGGTTGAAGGTGGCGATTTTTGCTTGTCTGGTCGCTTTTTCCGTCGGAAGGGGTAATACGTTCAACATTTTTTTTTTTTTTCCATTTTGATTTGTTTTTAATTATTAAGTATTACAAGGAAGTGTGCATGTTTTTAATTTAGTGTATATATATGTTTTTTTTGTCTGAAATTTCGAGTTCGTCTAATGGTGTGCTTGAACTCCTCAAATTCAGAGTTTAGATTGAACCACAAGCACAGCGGGGATGCTATTTCTTTCAACCATACTCTTGCGGAAATCTTGGTGCAATATGCTTCTGCGGTATGTCTTTATTTTTTTAATGCCCGGTGGTTATTTTGTTCCTCATCTTATGTGCTACTTATAGTTACGTCATTCGCTTGAATTAAGCAATTTGTGATTTCAGGCGTACATATCTGATTTAACGGAACTGTTTACTTGGACATGCTCAAGATGTGATGACCTGACTCAGGTACTTAGGTAATCTGATGATTTTCAGGGGGTGTAGACAAGTACTAGACATCTTTGATATTCAAGTTCTGTGTATATTGAGGCAGTTAGTTTTCTTTTAGTCAAAATAATCGGCACTTATGTTCATTTCCATGGAAACAGGGGTTTGAAGTTATAGAACTGGTTGTTGATGTCCAGCACTGCCTACAGGTATATTTCATTGGATGGTTTTTGGGAAACTAGTCGAGCTTGGTTGACATTTGTTGTTGTGATATCGTTTTTGTACTTTGCTGCAGTCATATGTCGGAGTATCAAAGAGTCTTAATGCTATCGTTATTGCTTTTAGAGGAACTCAAGAAAACAGGTGAGCAAATTGAGGTTTATCGGTTTGCAAAATTTCATTGGAACAAATGATTTGGTCTTTTATAGTGGAAAAATAGCTTCATTTTGCTTCTGGTGTATAGCCTTTTCATTTAGAGAGTGAAAAAACTGATCTAAAGACAGTAATACCTTGACACTTTGAACGTACAAACTATTGATTAAGCATACAAGGTTTTCCCTGTAAACTATTCCACTGGTATTATGCTTTTCTGTAACTTTGTCCTTGCTTTCTATTTGATGAAACTAATTAATCAAATCATTTGTTGACTTGTAAAGATAAATATAACCATATTAACACCTCTGGTGTTTGGGGGTTGGTGATGGTCTGATCTTATGTATTTAAACCTTATTTACAGCATACAGAACTGGATTGAAGACCTATACTGGAAGCAGCTTGACCAGATGTACCCTGGCATGCCGGATGCAATGGTGTGTGTTGCGAAAAGTTTCTGTTATCTGTTCTTTTGCATATGCTAGATTGAAAGTTGTCTTTGAAAAAGCTTGTAGGTCTTGTCCACCTCACACTCTTAGTGCTTGTTTAAGTCCTCTTCTATGATAATATAAAAGAAGATTACATTGGGTGGAGTTACTTCTAGTGCTTGTATAAAACCTCAAGATTTTACCATTGGATGATATTTCTTTTATATCATATTGAAGGATTAAGTGAGCACTGGGAGCATGGAGATGAGCCTAATTTAGAGTTTTAAAACACAACAAGTTGAAGAGAATAGAGTTGCAGACAAGACATGCAATCTATTTGAAGTCTTAGAAAAAAGATATAAGAACCTTTTTGAACTTCTAAAATATTTAATTTAGAAAGGAATACAAAGTTCACATATATAAGTACACACACACAGATATAAGGAGTACAAAGTTCACGATCAGGAATAACTAACTAGAACAGAGGAGTTAAATAATTAAGAGTTCTTGGTTTACAGAATTTCCATTTACTCTAAGGTTCTAAATAGCCTTCTACTTGTGTAGTGGTGTTTCTTAGTTTTTCTTTGATTTTCTTTAAATAACAGTACTCAAGTAGGATTCCGACCTCAGTCCTTGAAGAGAACCTTCATCTCATCATTTTTACTAAAACTCAATGTTAAGCTGTTAGAGAGAGACGCAATAACTTCAGTTCTTGTTACCTCAGGTGCACCATGGGTTTTATTTTGCTTATCACAATACAACAATACGCCCTGCGATAGTAAGTGCTGTTGAAAGAGCCAGGAAGTTCTATGGTAACCTTGACATCATGGTGACTGGACATTCAATGGGAGGGGCAATGGCAGCATTTTGTGGCCTGGATCTTGCAGTACGTGACGTCAGCTTCTTCCTTGCTTGATAACTTTGATAATTGTTGCATTGCTTTTCTGAAAGATATGATGGCCAAAAGTCTTTGACACTTAGTAGTCTTAAAATTTTGCAAAATTAGTCAACATACTCCAGTAGCCATTTGTGGTTGAAGTTAAAAATATATTTTGACTGCCTGTGTAGTGCTTGAACATTTCTTTTACTACAGAATGGAAAGCTATCGTCAAACCACCTAAATGGTGCTTGAACATTCTTGTTTTCAATATTTTTAGAATCTTAGGAAGATATGAATGTTTTTATGTTAGGTTTTAATTTAGATTCTCTTGTTTGATCGATGCATTATGCTGATGATTTTCTATTCAATGCAGGTTAGCCACAATTACCAGAATGTCCAGGTTATGACATTTGGACAGCCTCGTATTGGCAATGCAGTATTTGCATCTTACTATAGCAATATAGTGCCAAATACATTTCGAGTTACAAATGGAAATGATATCGTCCCCCATTTGCCTCCATTTTATTCTTATTTTCCTAGAAAGACATATCGCCATTTTCCTAGAGAGGTATGTTTCATTGATACTTTGAACTATACAAAGCTACTTAGGACATGTGATGGTGTGAACTTGATGGGAAAAATCGTGCACAATCTCCTTTTTTAGCAGTTCCTTTCGTTTGCAAACACAACAATGTTAAATCTCTCTGCTCTTGGAAGACATTTCTAAACATCCTTCAAACAGTACGTCTTACCTTTATCGGTGAAATGAGGGTTGTAAAATTAAATTTAACTTTCAAGAGAGTTTTAAAATTTTTTTAAAGATGAAGATAAGTGGTATCACCACTGCTTTTTCCTACAGAAACCCAACTGTAGTAGGTTACTTGAAGAGTTGTACTTCTGTTCCCTTGAGTTATAAGGAGATCTTACTGTAGTTAATATTTGGTTGCAATTGTGAAGCTGAAAAAAAAAAAAAACTAATGCTTCTTTAGGGCTCTGCAAATGGTACTTGTATATATTCAATGCCAGTAAGCCTAAAAGTTGTACACATTTCAGACTCAAATGGCAGAAACATTACATATTTCTCTGCTAAATTAGCCCCTTTTAAGTAACTTAAAATTCCAATAATCTGCAGGTGTGGCTTTATGATGTTGGATTTGGAAGTTTCATTTATCAAGTTGAAAAGGTTTGTGATGGTTCTGGTGAAGACCCATCTTGTTGCAGGTAATTCTTCTCTTGTTTGATCAGATGTTGATGAGCGGCATCACTTATTATGGATTTGATTCTGGAATTTGGTTGCTATTTCTTAGCTACGAATTTCCAACAATGAAAATCTGTATTTAGTAATCTAAAGAAAGCTTTAAAATATTGCCAATGTGACAGGTCTGTCTCTGGAAAAAGTGTTTCAGATCATTTGGTGTACTATGGGGTTGAGCTAAGTAGTCCAGCATGGAGATCATGTAGATTTGTAATGGATCCTCCACTGGCGGCATCGTATGGAACGACCGATCTGAATGGTAACAGAGTTTTCTCTAGGGATCCTGAAATTCCTCTTATCAGATTGATTGAAGGAACCGTCCTCACTCGAAGGTAAATCCTGGTAGCGTTCATTCTATGACCGAGTACTTTCTTGCCCATGATAATCTTAAAGAAGACTGTGGAGGGGTCGCGTGCCATTTGAGTTATTTCCAACCTTGTTCGAGATGCAATTGTGTAAAGGCTGATCAGTGTGGCGGTTCGGCTGGTAAATATCCAACCTTGTGATAGTTAAGCTGTTTATTTGTACATATGAGAAAATGTATATTATTGTAAAGATTGTTTCACTGAAAATTGGTAGTTTTCAAATAATGTGGATAGAAGAAAATTGCAATAAGATGAAACGTCGTAGAACAGCATGAATGTAATAATCATGTTTTTGTATATTGTTATTTGTTGTTTTTTGCTTTGAATTCTAATGTAGGGAACTGTCAGCGTTTAAGGTTTAGGGTGTCGGGGGCGTTTAGGGTTTAGGGTTTAGGGTTTTGGATAGTGCTAAGTTCGAGGGATCAGGAGGAGGATGGGAATGGTTTTGAAAGCCACAGGTTCGTTTTATTTATACATTTACTTTTTTTTTTTATCTATATTTTAAAAATTAAACTAAGCCATAGTTTTTTTTTTTTTTTTTTTTTTTTTTT